AAATTCAATGTCGTACAAATCAAAATATCAAAGACATTCTTCTCAGATCTGGAAAAAAGGCTGAAATTCATATGGAGACACAGCAGACCTCGAATAGCTTAAGCAATCTTGGACAACAAAACAGAGCTGGAGGCATCACAATATCAGATTTGAAGACATACTACAGGGCAATTATAATCAAACCAGCATGGTACTGGTACAGAAACAGATACCAATGGAACAGAATAGAAACACCAGAAATCAATCCAAACATCTACAGCCAACTCATATTTGATCAAGGATCTAAAACCAATTCCTGGAGCAAGGACAGTCTATTCAACAAATGGTGCTGGGAAAACTGGATTTCTATGTGCAGAAGCATGAAGCAAGACCCCTACCTTACACAAAAATCCACTCAACATGGATTAAAGATCTAAATCTACAAACCAACATCATCAAATTATTAGAGAACATCGGAAAAACCCTGCAAGATATAGGAACAGGCAAAGACTTCTTAGAAAAGATCCCAGAAGCACAGGCAGCCAAAGCCAAAATTAACTATTGGATTACATCAAATTGGGAAGTTTCTGTACTGCAAAAGAAACAGTCAGGAAAGTGAAGAGGCAACTGACAGAATGGGAGAAAATATTTGCAAATTATGCAACTGATAAAGAATTAATAACCAGAATCTACAAAGAGATCAAGAAACTCCACAACAACAAAACAAACAACCCACTTAAGATATGGGTCAAGGACCTCAATAGACATTTTTTTGGACAGGTAGAGTGGATAGTGAGAGAGACAGAGAGAAAGGTCTTCCTTTGCCATTGGTTCACCCTCCAATGGCCGCCGCAGCCAGCGCGCTGTGGCCGACACACCGCGCTGATCCGATAGCAGGAGCCAGGTACTTATCCTGGTCTCCCATGGGGTGCAGGGACCAAGTACTTGGGCCATCCTCCACTGCACTCCTGGGCCACAGCAGAGAGCTGGCCTGGAAGAGGGGCAACCGGGACAGAATCCGGCACCCCGACCGGGACTAGAACCCGGTGTGCCGGCGCCGCAAGGCAGAGGATTAGCCTATTGAGCCGCGGTGCCGGCCTCAATAAACATTTTTCAAAAGAGTAAATCCAAATGGCCAACAGACACATGAAAAAATGTTTAGGTTCACTAGCCATCAGGGAAATGCAAATCAAAACCACAATGAGGTTTCATCTCACCCCCATTAGAATGGCTTACATACAGAAATCAAATAACAACAGGTGCTGGCGAGGATGTGGGGAAAAAGGCACACTGATCTACTGTTGGTGGAAATGTAAACTGGTAAAGCCACTATGAATGACAGTTTGGAGATTCATTAGAAACCTGAACATAGCCCTACCACATGACCCAGCCATCCCACTCCTCGGAATTTACTGAAGGAAAATTAAAGAGCTATCTGCACCTCCATGTTTATTGCAGCTCAATTCACAATAGCTAAGACGTGGAATCAACCTAAATGCCCATCAACAAAAGACTGGATAAAGAAATTATGGGATATGTACTCTATGGAATACTACACAGTGGTTATAAAAAACAAAATCCAGTCATTTGCAACAAAATGGAGGAATCTGGAAAACATTATGCTGAGTGAAATAAGCCAGTCCCAAAGGGACAAATATCATATGTTCTCCCTGGTCTGTGACAACTAAGCACCTAAAAGGAAACCTGTAGAAGTGAAACTTACACTACGATAAGCAACGACTTGATCAGCCCTTGTCCTGACCGTTCGAGACACAGCTTACCATTTTACTCTTGTTAGCATTTTCTTTTTCTACTTAATACCACTGATTGAACTCTCTTTAATTAACACAGAATTATTCTTAGGTGTTTAAATTTAACTGAAAATTGATCCCTGTTAAAAATAAGAGTGGGAATAAGAGAGGAAGGAGATGTAGAGTTTGGCACACGCTAACTTATCATAAAGATAGAAATAAATGTCAAAGGGATCACATAAATAAGAACAGTGTCTGCTAATACTAACTGGTAGAATTAAAAAGGAGAAAACGGTCCAACATGGGAAGTGGGATACACAGCAGACTCAAAGAATGACAAATGCAGACTCAAAGAATGACAAATGACCTAAACAGTACTCTGGCCTCAGAATCAGCCCTTAAGGCATTCGGATCTGGCTAAAAAGCCCATGAGAGTATTTCAGGCATGGAAGCCATGAAACTGTGGCAAAAAAATGACCTAAATGAAAGATATCTGAGTGAGACCTCAGTGGAAAGAATGGGCCATCAAAGAAGGAGGTACTTTTCTCTAAAGGGAGGACAGAACTTCCACTTTAATTATGGCCTTGTCTAAATAAGGTTCGAGTTTGTGCACTCAAGAGGCTTCCATAGCCTTGGATGATTACTGATGTCATAAACAACAGCATCAATTGTTCGATCAATAACAGGAGTCACTGTGCACTTGCTCCCCCTGTAGAACCTCTGTCCTTAAGCACTGTATTATGAGAATTAACGGTAAAACTAGTCTTCAAACAGTTCTTTATACTTTGTGTTTCTGTGTGGGTGCAAACTGTTGAAATCACTACTTAGTATAGAATTGATCTTCTGTATATAAAGATAATTAAAAATGAATCTTAATGAAGGATGGGATGGGAGAGAGAGTAGGAGATGGGATGGTTTGAAGGTTCGGAGGATGGTTATTGTGCCAAAAACCGTTATAATCCAAAAGTTGTACTTTCAAAACTTAGAAGTTTTCTATAAAAAAAGAGTAGATGTTATTAGCTCACAAAACTAAGGAATTTCAAAATTACTTGAAATTCAGTCAGAATTCAATTCAGAAACTACAAGTTTCAATTTGGAATCATTCAAGAGTGATTTACAGCTTAATTACCATTCTTTTACATGCCAAAATCAGTTTCTGAATTCATTCACTCATTCAGTTTTCAATTGGATCTTAAGGTGAGTCAGGCACTGCTCCAGGCACAGGAAAATGAGAAGGGAAGAAGAGCAGAGGTCTTGGGCCACAGTGACTGCAGTACAGGAGCTCAGTGGGAAAGGTTCTTGGTCTATTCTGAAGTCAGAAACAAAAGGATTTGCTGACTGAATGGATGTTGGGTACAGAATCAAGGGTGACTTTAAAAAATTATTTAAAAGTGAGACTAACCGTGGGGGGTGGTAGGGAGGGAGAGAAGGAGGCGGGGGGGGGGGGGGGGAGGGAAAGGGAGAGGGAAAAAAGGAAGGAGGGAAAGAGGAGAGATCTTCCATGTGATGGTTCACTCCCCAAATGGCTGCAATGGCCAGGGCTAGGCCGGGCTGAAGCAAGGAGCCAGGAGCTTCCTCTGCAACTCCTACATGGGTAGCAGGGGCCCAGCACTTGGGCCATCTTTGCTGCTTTCCAGTTTCTTTTTTATAGAATAAATTCTGCCTTGATCAAAGGTCCATAGTTAGTTAAAGTTGCTTCCATTTCAAAAGTTTTCCCTTCTAAAGCAGGTGGTTAATGTTTTAGAGGATAATTATTATCAAGACAGAACAGTCCAATATGTTTGAGGATGGGCGCCAGTTTGATCCAGTCCCCTGCTGGAAAGCAGCGACAGAGGCCAAGCGTTTCAGTTCCTGAACCCACATTGCAGACCCAGAAGAAGCTCCTGGCTCTTGACTCTCTGGGCTGGCCCAGCTCTGGCTGTTTCAGCCATCTGGGGAGTAAACCATCAGATGGAAGATCTCTGTCTCTCCCTCTCTCTCCATAACTCTCTTAAATAAATAAATATTAAAAAAAAGATTCACGACATCTTGATGACTGATGTCCAACATGACTAATGGTTGTAAATTTTAAAGATCCCAGTTATAGGCTGGCGCTGCGGCTCAATAGGCTAATCCTCCACCTGCGGCGCTGGCACACCGGGTTCTGGTCCCGGTCGGGGTGCCGGATTCTGTCCCGGTTGCTCCTCTTCCAGTCCAGCTCTCTGCTGTGGCCCGGGAGGGCAGCAGAGGATGGCCCAGGTCCTTGGGCCCTGCACCCGCATGGGAGACCAGGAGAAGCACCTGACACCTGCCTTCGGATCAGTGCAGTGCACCGGCCGCAGCAGCCATTGGGGGGTGAACCAACAGAAAAGGAAGACCTTTCTCATCTCTCTCTCTCACCATACACTCTACCTGTTTAAAAAATAAATAAATAAATAAATCCCAATCCTTTCCACCCTCCAGACTCAACCCTTATTAAAAAAAAAAAAAAAAAATCCCAGTTATGTAATTATCTTCTTTCTGTACAATGGCTATGAATCTATATCCTGGAGAATCAAAACTGCCAAAAAAGAAATGAGAACCTGGAAGAACAGTAGGGAAGCATGCCTGCACCATCATTCATGGAATCTCAATATGTAACCACACTTTCATCTGACACATGTTATCACAACATTCTGGTGTTATTTCTTCATGCCATTTTCCAAAATCTTTAATTTATATAATAATACTCCAGAGTTTTTTCTTTTTTCAGTGAAATGTGGAACAGAAAAAAAAAATTCAGAGCATCACAGCAAAAACAAAACAAAACAAAGACACAGGTTGAGTTTATGGATCAGATTCTAGTCGAAAGTTCGAAAGTTGTCATTGGCTTTCCTTTCATTGGAAAAAAAAATTTAAACTCACTCCTGAATAGTTTTTTAAAAGTTAACAATTTTATGAGTCTTGGTTTCAGACAACAGCACCAGAATAGAGAGATTCTTGCTCATCATTTGCAAAACACAATCCATTTAAAAATATTTCAGACCATACACAGTCTTTGGGGACATAAAATAATAAGTTGTATCTTCCAGAAAAGATAAATACTCAAAGATAAATTATAACTGTGACTGAAACATAATATTAAAAGAAAAGAAAGCCTTTTTGTGAGCACCCAAATAATCCCTCCTCCACACTCAGTGACACAAAAAGCATTTTTAGCTTTCAGGTTTGGACAAATCCCGTTTGAACAGCAGCTCCCTCCCCCCCCGCCTCTCCTGTCTTAATTCTCCCACAGCTCCAAAAATGAGATGGGAACCTGGTATTTATCTTGCAGCACCATCAGCAGTTTCCACCTCTCGGATTTCTATGCTGCTCCTTATTTGAGATTTTCAAGTTAACTTGTGGGAGCTTCCTACAAAACACTCAGAACCTCAGACACGAGTCTCGCATGTGGTCTCTCTTCCTATGCCTGAGTGTTAACTTGAAGACAACTGACAGAAAGGAGCTAAGCAGGGAAGCCCACCGACAAAAGGTATGGAAAATGAGTCGCTTCTATTACTGCTTTGAGACCTCAGTGCAGATCTTCAGGCATTATTTAGTTTGAAGTAGAAGTTGTACGGCTGTTTTTAAGTATTATTTTTGACATAGATGGAAAACTTAGGTTACATTTTAATGAGATCTGCATTAGCCTTTCTGTTGGCAAACAGTCGAGCAGAGCACCCGCGAGGCTGGGTTCCGCATGTACGGTGCTGGAGTTCTCCCTGTGGAGTGGAATGCAGCCTGTGCACCTCCTGGTACTCCTCTACCACCCCCACGGTCACGGTCACCGCCACCGCCACAAAGTATGTCTTTATTCTCCATGAGACAGACATTTGGGAGAACAGGCCACAAACTGTATTATTCTTGGGGCTGGAGAGGAAGAAATAACTCACAGCAATACAGCCAAAAGGCAAGGCAACTGGATAAAAGGGACAGGAAAGTGACCTTCATTTTGGAGTTAAATTCTTTCTCCATAAGTTCTCCACGCAGCAGAAAGCACGTGAAGCCCAATCTTCCACGCTGAGCAAGCGCTCACTAACGGAAAGCACCGTCATCTTGTCTGTGCTGATCTTGCCTGTCTAATTCATCACTGCCAGCCCTTGTTAACTGTGACGAGCAAGCCGTCAGCAGGTCTGAATCACACGGACATTCACGCAGTGTATTGGCTAGGGGAAGAAAGGGCTGTAATTGGTAAGCTGAGCATAAATTGATCAGCATATTAAAGATTATTCAACCAAGGAAGAAAGGAAGGCAGACAGGCAGGAAGGCAGGAAAGGAGGAAGGGAAGAGGAAAAGGAGGAAGAGGGAGGGAGGGGCTCTGGGATGGAAGAGGAAGGGAGGGAGGGGCACTGGGACAGAAGAGAGGGAGGGAGGAGGGCAGGATATGAGAGAGGAGAGAACAGAGCTCTCCTGACATGTGAACAGCAATGTCATTCCTGAAAAGGATCTAAACTGAAAATGGTCTGGGGAGGCATCATTTAGCAAACCTGCTGGAGTCTCAAATGCAAAAACCCAAACTTAAAACAGTGCATCTAAAGCTGCAACACCTGCACAATTTTTTTTTCTGGAAGCTTTAACTTTTGCTCTGTTTTGATCTCAGATATGAAAAGACACGAACTGTCTGATGGTGGGCAAAATCTCAACACACTGGTGTTTACAGATGGGTTTAACTCTTAAGAACTTGAAATCTGAGAGAAATCCTCTTCAAGAATTATAAGTTTGGCACTTCTTCTAAAAATAGCACAACTCAATCCACATAGCTCAGACTCCAACGTCTGAGAGAGCCAACATTTCTAATTATCATCACTACGGGATGTTAGCACTTTTCATAGAGGCATGGATTAGCAGCACCTCATAATTCAACACAAAACATCAGCTGCCTTGGAGAGAGTCACCTGGAGCTAAGCTGTGTGGCCTGTCCATACCCCATGGTGTCCTCCTTCCCGGAGGGACGGAGCTGGGTCAAACAGATCCCTGCGGTGCCTTCTGCCTCCAGATGTAGCACTTTCCTGCTTCCCATGGGAAGCATGGGGGGGGGGGGGCAGGGCTCTAGCAGGAAGTTCTGTGGTCAACTGGAAAAGATGCAGGAGGCAGTGAGGCAGGGGGGAGTGGAAGGACTGGACCACAGCAGACCAGCTGCTGAGACTGGGTGGCACGGGAGGCGTGGTTTCCTATCTGAGCACCCTAATCTCAAAAAACATGGATCCTTAGATTACAGCTGCACAATTCTACGAAAACAAATTCAATCGACTTAGAAAGGGAGAGAAAAGAGAACCCTCAAATGTCTCTGGACATCAACTGTTGCATGATATAAGAAATGCAACTAATAAAATCAGTCATAAGTTACTGAGTACCTTCTGGGACTCAGACACTGCCCCAGGCCTTTTGTTTCACCCTGTGAACAGGCACCACCTCTCCAGAAGAGAGCACGCAGCACAGGGAGGTTAGAGAGCGCCAAGAGCTGAGCCAGGTGCTTGCATCCAGGAGCCCACATCCCACTCTGCAGTTAATTCAGTGACTTCAGAAATACGAAAAATGCTAGTACAATACTTCAGAAACCCCCAAAAAAGACAGTAAGTACTGACAGACAGAATGGATAGATGGTAGGGTAAGAAGTCTTTTCGCTTCTTAAAACACGGCTAAGCCACAAAGTAGGTGCAATTTTCTCCCTTTTCTTAAAAAAACACACACACACACACACACAATAAAACACAGTTCCATTTCTCTGGGTCCCTTTTGTATCAACTGGCGGTGTGGTTACTTCTGGCATGTTGTTTTGAGATTTGCTGACCTGACAATGGAATCATTCGGAAGAGGCACTATTGCAGGAGGCTGGGTCAGGGACTGGTTCCGCTCCCAGCTAGAACGGGTCTCACATTCTCATTAGCAAATGACACTGGTTCCACTGTCCCAGGTACCTGCAGCCAAGTGAAGGCTGGCGTGGGCAGGAGTTTGCACGGGTGTGACCACGCCAGAGACTTCAATTTCTCCCACTGCTTTCCTTCTTCAACAGTCTACCTGGGTCCTGTGCTGGCACACAGTGGGTCCTTAAAACAAAACAAAACAAAACAAAAGGCTATGTGTGTGCATTTCCTATTCAGAGGCGATCTCAGCTCGTACTGGAACAGAAGGCCTTGTGTTGACGCCTTCTTCCTCTCCCTCAATCCTCATTCTGTCTTTTCTCCCTAGCCCTTGCCACCAGCCTTTCCCAGAGGACAGACGCAGCAGCGACAACATGGCCTCGGAGGGGCTCCAGCTCCTGGCCTTCACCCTGGCCCTGTCTGGGGTTTCCGGAGTGCTCACGGCCACTCTGCTGCCCAACTGGAAGGTGAAGGTGGATGTGGGCTCCAACATCCTCATGGCCATGGTCCGGCTCCATGGGCTGTGGATGGACTGCACGTGGTACAGCACCGGCATGTTCAGCTGCACCCTGAAATACTCCATTCTGTCCCTCCCCACGCACGTGCAGGCTGCGAGGGTCGCCATGGTGCTGGCATGCATCCTGTCTGCCTTGGGAATTTGCACATCCACCGTGGGAATGAAGTGCACCCGCTTAGGAGGTGACAGAGAGACCAAGAGTCAGGCTTCCTTTGCCGGAGGAGTCTGTTTCATGTCTGCGGGGGTCTCTGGTTTCATACCAGCAGTGTGGTACACCAAGGAGATCATAGCAAGCTTCCAGGATCCCACAATTTCAGAGAGCAACAAATACGAACCAGGAGGAGCACTCTACATTGGATTCATTTCAGCAATGCTGCTGTTTATCTCTGGCATTATTTTCTGCACTTCCTGTATAAAAAGGAAGCCAGAGGCCTGGCTCCACACACACACGCAGCAGCACGTCTCAGCCCCGCAGCCAGAGAGCAGACCTGCCTACAACCTGAAGGATTATGTATAGATGACTGCTGCGCACGGGTGGCAAGAAGCTGTGGGGTGCCAGCTGGGACTTGGCTTTAAATCTGAAACATCAGAATGTTTCACTTTCACTACAAACAGTGCAAAATGCTTGAAAACTAGATGGTAGTTTAAAATGCCAGTAAAACATCCTATATAGTTGTATCTGCCTGAAGATTCCTTTAGTTTTCCATTATTGTTTTCATGTTTAAAAGTCTACCATTAGAAGTTCTGATTACATTAACAGGGCAATTGACAGCATTTTCTGCAACCCCCCTTTTTTTCAAGATTTATTCTATGGGATCAGTAAGTTAAGCCTCCACCTGTGGCACCGGCATCCCATGTCAGCGCCGGTTCAAGTCCTGGCTGCCCCACTTCCAATCCAGCTAATGTGTCAGGGAAAACAGTGGAGGACAGCCCAAGTGCACAGGACCCTGCAACCACATGGGAGACCAGGAAGAAACTCCTGGTCCTGGCTTCAGGTCAGCCCAGTTCTGGCAGAGTTACAGAGAGGGAGAGACAGGTCTTCCATCCACCGATTCACTCACCAAATGGCCGCTGGGCTGATCTAAAGCAGGAGCCAGGGGCCTCTTCTCGGTTTCTCACATGGGTGCAGGGGCCCAAACACTTGGGCTATCCTCCGCTGCCTTTCCCAGCACAATAGCAGGGAGCTGGATTGGAAGAACAGCAGATGGGACTCAAACCAGTGCCCACAGGGGATACTGGCACCACTGGCAGACACCTAACTTGTTAAGCCACAATGCTGGCCTCTGTTTTCCTTTTAAGATACTTGTTAATACAGCTTCCAAACTGGATTTTATAAAATAACCAAACTGCCAAGCAGAAACGGGACCCGGGCCTGGGATCGTCATGAGTGTCATCCCCTGGGGCTACCTGCCAGCTCGCAGAGTGGCCTGCTCCGAGCTTCAGGCCACCGTGCATGAGTCTTGAGCAACAGAGGAGCCCTGCTTGAACTCTGCCAAATCCTCAACAGATCCGCCATCTCCTTTCTCACATTAGAAAACTACCTGCACACACTTGTGAGAACTGCCAGTATTACATGCAAATTAATATTAAGAAATCAGCAAATGCCACCACAGCAAAGGAAAGCCAAACCACACACTTTTAATGCATTAAGCATTAACATAAGCTAAATGACAGTACTTTTTCTTCCAATTTGACTCACAGAAATACTGTTCTTACAGATGAGCTGCTTCAATTAGTGGATGTAAAATAACTTTAATTTATTTACTGTTTGAAAGGTAGAGAGAGGGAGGAGGGGAAAGGGTAGATAGGTTCCCACCCACTGGGTCACTTCCCAGGTGCCAGTAACTGCTGGGGGGCCAAAGCCAGGAGCCAGGAACTCAACTCAGGTCTCCCATGAAGGTGGAAGGAACTCAATTGCTTCTGCCTCCCAGGGTCCTAATTAGCAGGAAGCTGCACAGTCAGGAGTCAAACCAGCAAGGCCAACATGGGATGTAATCATGTCTGGCATCGTAACCTCTAAGACAAAGGCCCACCCTAGTATACACAGCTATGGTTAGAGTGTGTTTGGTCCCCACAGGTTGGTCTGCTGGAAGCATGTTCCCTAGCGTGGCAGTGTTGAGTGATGGACCTTCAAGGGTGGAGCACAGTGGAAGGCAATTAGGCTCTGCCCTCATGGGTGGATCAACGCTGGTCAAGAGTCGGGGAGTTCTCACAGGGGGCGGCTGTGGGAGAGCAAGGCCACCTCACCGGCTTGGCCTCTTCTGCAAGTGGCCACTTCCCATTCAGCCTCTCTGCCACGGGGGACACAGCCCAGGGACCCTCACCATCCTGACTTTCCAGCTATCAGAATTGTGAGTCAAATAAACCTCTTTTCATTATAAAGTAACCAGTCTCGGGTATTTTGTTTCAACAGGAGAAAACGGACTAAGATATGTGACTGAAGAATCTAACAGTTCTGACAAAAACGATAAAGACTTAACTCAGGAGAACTGGTAAAGTCTGGGAAGGAATTGGGAGAACTTTACTTGATGCCAGAAGCTGGTAACAACTGGCTAGCTGTGAGGGTGCAGGTCAGGAGGCTGCTTGGGCTGACCGCCATGTTCGGGCAGGGATGACCTGGGCAGGTGAGGAGGTTGTGAGCAGTATGATGAACACACGGGGAGGAGCAGGCCTGGTGCAGGCAGACAGAAAGTCAGTTTTGGACATGGACTCGATGTTTTCTTATTACATCTCTTCCACGACTACATCGTCAGCTACTGTCATACACTAACTAACTGACTTTGAGGACTGATATCACAACCTACAAATTCTAAACATGGCAATACACTTGATCATTATCTCTAGCAACTGTTCTGTTTCATTGCATTTTATATCAAAGTATCATCTTTAAAATACTATTTTGTTTCTTCCTTCTTGGGTTTAAAACACTCTTATTTTATCCTTGAGCAATCACAAAAGCATGACTAGTATTCAGTTAAAATTATAGAAGGCTGGCATTGAGGCACAGTGTGCAGTGGGTTAAGACTCTGTCTGCAATATCAGCATCCCATGAGTGCTGGTTCAAGTCCTGACTGCTCCATTTCCACTCCAGCTCCCTGCTAATGCACCTGGAAAAACAAGGAAAAATGGCCCAAGTGCTTGGACCCCTGTCACCCACATGAGAGAGTTCCAGGACTCTGGCTTCAGCCTGGCCCAGTCTTAGCCATTTTGGCCATTTGGTGAGTGAACTAACAGATGTAAGATCTGTTTTTCCCTCTCTCTCTGTAACTCTGCCTTTCAAATAAACCTTCTGAGGACTGACATTACGCCACAAGTGGGAAATTCCATTATCATGAAATTGTTTCATGCATAAAATTTTTAAAATATTGTATAAAATTACCTTCAGGCTACATGTATGAGAAACATATGACCTTCTTGTTTAGACTTGGGTCCTACCCACCATGATATCTCATTATGTTCATGCAAAAATGTCCCAAAATCTGAAAAAATTTAATTCTGAAACACTTCTGGTCCCAGGCATTTCAGATAGAGGACACTGGACCGTATTCCCTTCTCTATTTTACTTATCTGATTTTTGAGGATGATGACTCTAATTATGAAACTGGCTTTCAGTTTATGTTTCAGATTCAAACCTGCTTTCCTTTTCCTTTTTTTTATTTTTTTTAAGATTTTATTTATTTATTTGAGAGGCAGAGTTAGAGAGAGAGAGAGAGAGAGATAGACAGAGAGGAAGGTCTTCCATCTGCTGGTTCATTCCCCAAATGGCTGCAATGGCCAGCTCAGGCCATGCTCTGCTGCTTTCCCAGGCCATGGCAGACTGTTCTGGAAGAGGAGCAGCAGGGACACAAACTGGCACCCTTATAGGATACCAGCGCCGCAGGTGGAAGCTTAGCCTAATACACCGCAGCACTGGCCCCTCAAACTTGCATTCAGGAACAACTTGAGCCAGCTTAGAAGACTAGGAATGGTAAGAATCAAACCATTGATAAAGGAAAAGGCTAGAGTTGCTGAGGAGAGAGGACAAAATGCAATTAAATAACCCTGATTTAACATGCTAACATGTTCACTTAAGCATGAAACTTCGCTTAGAACTTCCAAGCAAGCCCGGCAGAGCAGGCACTATCAGCAATCCTGCAGCTCTGCCTGCCAGCAGGAACCCCCAGAGGCTGCTGGGAGTGCCTTGCCCAGGCTCCCTCCACAGTTGCTGGCAGTGCTGGGGGCTATGGGTTCCCAGATCTGGAGCTGCTGTCTCTGCTGGGTGGTTACAGCACCACTGCCCCCAGTAGCCAGCCAGCAAGTCATCTCCCCAAGGCAAAGACTTTTTTCCTCATGTGCTTATTTATGTGGTGATGAACGAAACACAGCACTTGCCTTGGGGAGGTGGGAGAGACAGCAAGCCCTGGTGATTCAGTGCAGACACTTCTGCAAGACTGCAGGGCACAGGGCCCACCAGGCTGGCCGACCGTGAAGCACCTTCTCCTGCGAGGGCTGAGGCTGGAGCTGGTCTGTGGGAGCGGCTCTGCGCCCACTCAGAAGCCCCAGTCCCCGGCTCTGCTGCTGCCCTCAGGCCCCTGCTCCTAAGTGCCCTCCCTCAACACACCCGTTTTACAAAACCCAATCGCAATCTCTGATTTCACGAAATCCAGCCAAATATCAAAGAATCTTAAGTAAGCAGGAATAAACGGTGCTCTGACCTTATGTTCGAATGAGTCTCAACAAGAGGGCCAATATACAGAGGTAATAGCCTCGCTGTCAGATTCCAGAGAACACAAAGGCATAGCAGTGGCTGGCCCTCAGCAGATCCGTGCACCCAGGGGAGGACCTCACAACAGGCCGAGGTCTCAACAGCTGTGTGACCTCAAAGGTCAGGCTTGGATGCTCCAACTCCTGGCCTTTTCTTTATATGTCATAGATACATGGTCATTAATCCACCTAAAATGTTGTTATTATTTATGCTTTAAATGTGTACCATGTTTGAGGGCAATTTGTTCTACACACTAATAGATTTAGACGGCAAAGTCAGATACAAATTATGTATACATACATATTTTTAAAAATTATAAAGCATCCGAGTAGTTATTTGGCGGAGGGTTAAGATGTTGCTTGAGACACCTGCATCCCACACTAGAGTCCTGGGTTGGAGTCTAGCTCCGCCCTCAAGTCCAGCTTCCTGCTAATGAGCACCCTGGGAAGCAGCAGGTGACAGCAGGTAATAGGGTTCCTGCCAGTCATGGAGGAGAACTGGACTGGGTTCCCAGTTCTCATCTTTGGCTTGGCCAAGCCTTGGCTGTTGTGGGCATTTGAGGAGTGAATCAGTGGACAAATGCTCCCTCTGCTTCTCAAATATAAAGAACAATTTAAAAAATATAACCCATCCTATTATATCAGGGTACTACAACTTAGTCTATATATTCCTGTTTACAATGACAACTAACAACTACAGCTACCTTTGATTGACTGCCTCCATGTGCCAGACACTCAACTGAGGCACTCAGCATTGGTATCCCAATTCCCCACAACAATCCTTCAAGGGAGGAATTATTGTTTCAATTGGGATGTGTTAAACTCAGCCTTTTAACTCGACACAGGATAGTGGTGAGACCTAAGCCCCGCACCCACATGGGAGACCTTGAAGGAGTTCCTTGTTCCTGGTTGTGGCCATCTAGGGAGTGAACCAGTGGATGGAAGATCTCTCTGCTTCCCTCTGCAACTCTGCCTTTCAAATAAATAAGGAAGTCTTTAAAAAAAAAATAGTGAAAATGTAGCTGGTACTGTGGCGTAGCAGGTAAAGCCACTGCCTGTAGTGCTGGTATCCCATATGGGCACCAGTTCGAGTTCAAGCTGCTCTACTTCTGATCCAGCCCTCTGCTATGGCCTGGGAAAGCAGTGGAAGATGGCCCAAGTCCTTGGGCCCCTGCATCTTCATGAGAGACCTGGAAAAAGCTCCTAGGCTCCTGGCTTTGGAATGGACCAGCTCTTGCCATTGCAGCCATTTGGGGAGTGAACCAGCGATGGAAGACCTCCCTCTCTCTCTTTCTGCCAATTCTGACATTCAAATAAATAAATCAATCTATAAGAAAAAGTGAAAATGAAAACACAAAATTAAAATTTCTAACTTGAAATCTATATACTACAAACTTCAGTAGCTCAAGTACCAAATCAGACCAAATAGCTAATATTAGAAACCTAACAAGTTGCTTTCTGTAGACAGGAACATTCAAATTCTAGAGACAACACTACAGCAGCTACTGAGAGCTGAAGTCGGGCAGGAATTGAGATCACCTAGTCAGAACAGGGTTGTGACAGCCACATGGCAGCAAAATTCTGCCATAAAGCCTGCTTGTTTGTTAATCAAAAGGCCAAGAAACAGCAAAGGAAATGAAATCAGTCTGTTGAGGAGACATCAGCACTCCCGTGTTGAATTCAGCACTGTTCACAATAGCCAAGACACAGAAACAAACCAAATGTCCACCCATCAATGAATGGACCAAGAAAATATGGAACATACACACAATGAACTACTATCCCATAATAAAAAATGGATGAAATCTTGTCGTCTGCAACAACAGGGTTGGAAGTGAAGGACATTATGTTAAAGTGAAGTGAGAGAGACAGGGAAAGACAACTCTCAGGTGATCTCATTCGCACGTGGAATCTGAAAGAGCTGACCTTACAGAAATGGGGAATAGGATGGCGGTTACCAAGAGGCCTACGAAGCTGGGGGAGATGGAGAAAATTTCATTAACAGGTATTATAGTTAGATAGGACGGAGCAGTTCTCGTGTTCTGCATAGGTAATGATAATATGATGTATTATATGGGGGCTGGTGTTGTGTTACAACAGGTTAAGCCACTGCCTTCAAAGCCATCATCCCACATGAATGCAACATAAATCCAAGCTGCCATATTCCCAGTCCAGCTTCCTGCTGATGCACCTGGGAAAACAGCAGATGACCCAAGCACATGGGCTTCTGCCACCAATGTGGGACACCTGGAAGACCTGGATGGAGTTCCAGGCTCCCAGCCTTGGCTTGGCCAGCCCTAACTATGCAAGATCTCTAATTCTTATCAAATAAATAAATATTTTAAAAATGATATTATCTGATTACATGTAAATACACACACACATATACACTTTTTAAAAGAATATAAGGGGGCTGGCACTATGGTGTAGCGGGTAAAGCTGCCACCTGCAGTGCCAGCATCCCATATGGGCGCCTGTTCAAGTCCACTTCCAATCCAACTCTGCAATGGCCTGGGAAAGCAGTGGAAGATGGCCCAAGTGCTTGGGCCCCTGCAGCTGCGTGGGAGACCCAGAAGAAGCTCCTGCTCCTCACTCCAGATTGGCAAGTCTCTGGCTGTTTTGGCCATCTGGGGAGTGAACCATCAGATGGAAGACCTCTCACTCTCTGTAACTCTGCCTTTCAAATAAATTAATAAATCTTTAAAAAAATAGAATTTTAAAAGTTTTTACCATACAGAAATGATAAATGTTTGAGACAGATGTTTATCCTGGATTGAACATTACACAATGTATATATGTATCAAAATATCACATGGTACTCCACAGATATGTACAATTTTTATGTATCAGTTAAAAATACAGAAAAAAGACAAATAAATAGAAGGGACAGACAGGACAGCAACACTCACAGAAAGAATCCTAAGGGGTGAGGGGTTATACATCAGCTGCTCATCAGATGAGAAAATAAATTCTCTGGATCTAATTTTGAGAGTTTTGACTGAGAACAGGTAGTGAATGTAAATTTCCTCTGAGCATTAACCTCTCCCTTGCAATGGCCCCAGGAATCCACTTGCCCTTCTGTGTTAACACTTAGCCAGTCTCACCTTGTGTGCCGTGATCTGTGTCTAGCACTTTCTCTCCCTGTATTCAGAAGGTTTAGCCAGAGGGACAGTCTCGCACTATTATTTGATCATCTTTGGGAAAATTCTTTCCCTTTCTTATTTGAGAAAGTGAATTTTTAAAAAGTCAATGCAACTATCAAATATTTTCTGGCTTTCCTCAGAGTACTCCTAATCTGTCCTAATATGATAAAACTACTTCAGAACAGCAGAGAATTCTCACAGAACTAAAATTTAATCATTTGATATACTGTGTTCCTTTATCATCCTACATTCTCTCTCCTTGGTAACTGCTTTCCTAGATTAAAAATAAATCCCCTCCATGTAATATTTATAACATAATGAAAAGCATACAAAGAAAATTGCTAAGAATGTGTGTAGTTTTCCCAAAAAAACTAATATCTCTCAGTAAAAAGAGAATCAAAGACATGACTAGTGGTGTTTTTTTTTTTTTTTTTTCCAAATAATGAATATTTTCTTGAGGTCTTAATTCCAGAGGAAAGAGATTTTAATTAATAAACTGCATGTGTAACCTACCCTTAAATCAAAGCTGAGAATAACCTCTAAAAACCATCAAATATTCTCAACTGAGGAACTAAAACAAAGAGAAACTTTCTACTAAAAATATTTCAGCATACACCCCAAGAAATGCCTTATAAAACTTAGATAACCAGTCTCGATTACAGCAAGGACTATTTAACATCTATAAATAAAGATGTTAGTTTCTGATATAACGGGTCTTATCCCATACCAAATGTTTCATGCACACAAATATGCATGGCAAAATATTTATCTTTCTAAAAGAAAAGTCCCTGAAAGAACAAAAGCATTAAATCTGACGACAACCTATAAGACCTTTCTGGTGTTAAAATCACTATTTGGGCAGAAGTCATCCACAATGTCTTGGAAGCCTTGAGGTGCTGAAGGGAGGTGGGAGCGATCATCAGGCTCCGAGTGTGACTCTGGAAGAAGCTGATGGCTGGTCTGTTCCGTGAGTGGAAGATGGGCTCAGTTCCTGCAGTCCCCTTGGCTGATGGGTGGGAGGATGGGGAGGACGGCCAACGGCAGTGGAAGTGTGAATGTGGTGCCAAAGATCATGGGAACGTCTATGGCCACACTTTAAGCTACACAAACAGAACTACCACTGTTGGTGGGGGCTCCACTCTAATCTACAAGGCACAGCATAACTCCATGCTATGTACTTTATGAAGGCCAAATGCTATAAAGACGACTTTACAAGACTTTCTATTACAGTTTTAGTAACAAGGGAAATGCTTGTTCCCCTCCAGGCGGGGAAGTCCCCCAAGCAGACTCTCCATCTGATGGGCTCCCACCCCTGGTGCCTCCCCTTGCTGCCCCACCCAGGGAGTTTCAAACGGCAGGTGCTCAAAAGTCAGTGAAGAAACGGGTGAGCGTTCATGGCCCGCATCATGCAGCAACTTATCAAGCAGTGGTTTTGCTAAAACAAACACCAGGTTTTCTTTTGGGGAGATGAGAAGGACAGAAAAACTTGGTTTCTGCAGTTGGCATCGACTCACATAACCAGCATATAACAGACTAAACCTAGTTTAATACTCAACTATTTTCCCACAGGTGATCTGTCACAAATAACACTACCAAAAGTCTCTCGAAAAACTGCAAAAAAAATTATAAATAAGTAATGTTTGATGTAGCTAGAAATCTCATCAGAAATCACAAAAAGATCTTTTTTCACGGGGTGGCCACATAACTTATCTTTCATAAAAGGACACTTTTAAGACTACCAGATGATGATGAAGAGCCCACTGACGTGGGGGAAACAGGAAGGAAGATTCGGCAGGAATAGGTGAGCCAGAAGATGTTCCTAATAATTTCTGCCTCCAGCCTTGCACTGTAACTCCACCCCTTACCTGTCAATCCAGTACACTCACTTTCCTATGATGCACCTGTGTCTCAGCCAGGACCAGGAAGAAGAGACACCATGATGGCTACATGTCGGGGCACCATGAAATTCCCAGAAAGCCTCATGCATGCTAAACACTGCCCAGACTCCATCCTGCTTGTGTATTCAATTAGGACACCATCTCCTACCTCATAAAAGTGACTGTTACACATGGGAACACCCTATTTTTGCTTTTTGGTTTCTGGTTCTTGCTTAAGGGTCCTTCTCTTACCTCCTCCCAAGCTCTCTCCTCACAGGCAACTCCCTGGCCCATCCATGATAGGTATCTGTGTGGGGTGGCCCACTCACATGCATGCTTTTAAGTAAGTCCTGCTCTTCACCTGTGCACTGCATCTATGTCTCTGTGAATTCTTAACTCCATGCGGGCAAGAACTTGGAATGACAATTAGGCTACATATGCCTATACCACCACCACCAGGGCAATACTCACAATCCCATGTGATTTCTGTGGTTCTTTTTCAGAAGAAGTAAAGAAAACATTATGGCACTGTTCACATGTAAATCAAGATTAGATCCTGCAGACTATTTCCTAGGACAAATCTTAGGCAGAACAAAGACGACAACTAAACTCCCAATTCCGACGAAGCAGGTAAGCAGAGCCTCACCTCTGGTTTGGGGACAAACGCTCGACCTGGAATTGTGAAGACGTGCTCCACATGGCAGAGGTACTGGGCCATGATGGAAAGGCGACTGCGCTGTTTGCTCCCGGTCGTGGCTGCGAGTCTCTGCAGAAGGACAAAATGCATTTGAGTGAGTGAGTAATCCAGCCAGCGCAGACGGAGCAGAGCCAACACGCCACCATCGTGCTCTAGGTGGATTTTCTGCAGGAAATGATGAAATCACAGGCCATCCAACACATGCTGGGCAGCCGACATGGGGAGTTATTTTCCTCCAGTACCCACTGAGGTACAGCCAAGAACTGTGCATTGGATCACACTCACAAGGTCAGATTAGAAAACTTCCCCACCCCGGCCTTGTTGGGATTTCCAAACTCTTGTCATATTCTATAAGAGAAGGCCTTGCATAAAATAAACAATCAGATCAGCAAACGGCTGACAATGAAACTAGCAAGCACAATAAACTAAAGATTCTCAAATATTTAATTTTCTAAATTACCCCAACAGGAATGGACATTTTTAATGGTGTTCTCTCTTCTTTATTTAGAACACTTGGAGAATTAGTTTTTGTTTTTTTTTTTTTTTTTATTTGAAAGGGTTAGTTAGAGAGAGAGACAGGGAGAGAGAAAATCTTCCATTGGCTGGTTCATTCCACAAATGGCCAGAGGTGGGCCAGGCTGTAGCCAGGAGCCAAGAGCTTCTTCCAAGTTGCCTATGTGGGTACAGGAGCCCAAGCACTTGGCCCATCTTCCACTGCTTTCCCAGGCCATTAGCAGGGAGCGGGATCGGAAGCGGAGCAGCTGGGACTCGAACCGGTGCCCATATTGGGTGCTAGCATCACAGGCAACAGCTTTACCCACAACGCCAGAACACCAGCCCCGAATTAGGTATTCTTGATAAAAGACTATTGCAGTAAATTAGGATTTTTTAAACACAAAAACATTATCATTTTAAAATTATTTAAGTATATGAAAATTCATAAATGCAATGAAATTTCAACCAAAATACCAGGATTTTTTTTTTTTTTGAAAGGCAGAGTTAGAGAGAGAGAGAGAGAGAAAGGTCTTCCTTCAGTTGGTTCACCCTGCAAATGGCTGCTACGGCTGGCTCGCTGCGCCAATCCAAAGCCAGAAGCCAGGTGCTTCTCCTGGTCTCCCATGCGGGTGCATGGCCCAAGCACTTGGGCCATCCTCCACTGCCTTCCCGGGCCACAGCAGAGAGCTAGACTGGAAGAGGAGCAACCGGGACAGAACCAGTGCCCCAACCGGGACTAGAACCCAGAGTACTGATGCCGCAGGCAAAAGATTAGCCTAGTGAGCCACGGCGCCGGCCACCAGCAGGATTTTTAAAAGAGAAATTTAATTTCCACATACATACTCTTATATGTATTTTAAATTATATTCTATATAAAATTTCCGTAAGGCCAAGAACAGCCCGGGCATTCTTAACTCCACCAATGTTGAGGGGAGATTGCTTCACTAGACATTAAAATTAAGGTATTACTGTGGCCATCTGGCTTTGGCCTGGTCCAGCACTGGCTGTTGCAGCCATCTGGGAAGTGAACCAGCTGATGAAAGATCTTTTTATCTGTCTCTCCCTGTAACTCTGCCTTTCATATAATAAATCAATCTTAAAAAAAAAAAAACACACATTAAGACAAATAACAGAAGTACAGATGTGAGATAAAGAAGAAGGTTATGGATCAAATGGTCAAAAATATTTCTAGTTCTTCATAAAGAAAAAGTTTAATTTTATGTAATTTCACTATTGGAGTAAAACTCCAAATGCATTGTAAATGGTTAATATCCAACTGACACAATTCAAAGTCATTAAAATTAACACTTAGCATGAGTACAATTACAAAATCAGAAATTAAGCCAAAAGAAATGCCTATAGTTATGATTTTCTTCCTCTTCATAGTTAAAAGTTCATTTGACATTTGAAAAGCAGGTCTCCAAGGGTGGATTCAAGAATTTAAAAGTCACTTTATGTAAAAAAGCAAACCGATCAGAAGTGAAGACACACTGGAGTATTTCACTTAGAGAGCCGTGTACGCAGTAACGTCAGGTGTAGGGCTATGCTGACCTGCTAACTCGATCTATTCAACCTGTGAACAAGTGTGCCCAGCGCGCGGGGTAGAACACCAGTGCACCAGAAAGAGCACACACAGCCGTCCCCAACTCCAAGAGAAAGTCCAAGTCCCAGAGAAGCCTCCAAGAGGACTTCTTGGAAAGGTGCTAACAGTTAAAAGGTCTACCAGCCACTCAAACTTGGCAACTTCTGTGACAGATTACAGGGCAAGACATGAAAATCCAAAATCTCTCACAGACAGAGGATTTTAACAACAAAAGGCTGGGAAACAAAACTAGTTAATTTTTCTTTTCTTTTCTTAAAGATTATTTATTTGAAAGGCAGAGTTACAGAGAGCCAGAGGCAGAGAAAGAGAAGTCTTCCATGCACTGGTTCACTCCCCAGATGGCCACAATGGCCGGAGCTGCACCAATCCAAAGCCAGGAGCCAGGAGCTTCTTCCAGGTCTCCCATGTGGTTGCAGGGGCCCAAGGACTTGGGCCATCTTTCACTGCTTTTCCAGGTGCATTAGCAGAGAGCTGGATCGGAAGTGGAGCAGCAGGGAGTGGAACTGGCATCCACATGGGATGCCAGCCCTGCAGGTGGCAGCTTTACTCGCCTCGCCACAGCCCCAAATCAGTTAATTTTTTATGGAAAGAAAATCTCTAACCCTTCAGCTTTTAAAAATATTCTGAGTATGAGAAAAACAAGGGGTCAAATAAGTCATAAAATGTTCTTATTATTCTTCTACAGCTATTTCAAATACAAGTAGAAAAATCAGGCTTACACTTGAGAAGCCACACGGGCACACTTCGGAGACCACATAACTCATGGAAAGGTGACTTCCTCTCTGCTGGGGATGTGCCCCAAGGCAGCCAGGGCTCCCAGAGAAGGAAGGAGACGGGGGGCTGACTCTGGACCCAGAGTTCCAGGGACAGAGAGAACTAGAAGTCGTGACTTCAGCGGAAAGCACACGACCTGTGTTCCAGTTCAGCTCTGTCACTGCTCTATGACCTCCGAGAAGGCATTAAACCAAGCTGAGCCTCAGCTTCATCAACTGTAAAATGAGGTCCAATGAGATCCCCTGAGGTCTCATTTATTGCTACACAGTGCGGTTCTACTTTACGAGCTGTTGACTTCATACTGTCTCTATGCGCCTTAATGTGTAGGCACCAGATTCTGACATTTAGACCCTGCAGCCCTAGAAAAAGGAATAAGATGATGGTGCTCATTTGTTTTGTTTTGTTTTGTAGCTCACAGAGCCAAACAAAATAAATGTCAAAAAGTGCTATCAGTGGTTAACATACAAAATTGCTCAGATGACCATGTCAAGGGCAAGCAGTAAATAAGAAAATATTGCTGTCTACTCTCCCATTGACACTTTCACTTGCAAAATGTGAAAACCAGAGGAGCACCCTTCTATACTCACCCTTCTAGTGCATTCCATAATACATATATAGGCACATTATATATATATATGTACTATATATACATTATATAATCTATCTCTAGAGAGATAGACTCACTATAAACTCTTTTCCATAGTCATGATGAAATTAAACTAAAATCCACCTTATTTTGTTAGGGAAAACAGTCTATGTCAAAGTTGAAGCAACATTCAGCGTCACAGGGGACCTCACTCCTCCCAAGCCTCTGCTCTCGCCACAGAATGAGAGCACACAGTATCTTCCACCTCTCGGTCACCTGAGAACAGAAACACCATAATGCCTGTGTGGTACAGGAACACGTATGTTTGGTCTTTGGTCCTTGTTCCTGGCAGAGCTCCTAAACTGCTTACACTTTCTTGAGTGATGGCAACGCCTTCTGTTCTTCAACCCCATTTTCATCAAACGTGACCTGCAGACTGCGGAGGCGATGGAGTGACCTGGGGTGACGTCCCAAGGTATCCTGAGGATGCTGCCGGCCATCAGAAAGACCGATGGATTACCAGCTACTTCCACGTGGGTAAAGTGTCTCCCTGAGTTCTGTGAGCCATTCCGGAAAGTGATCAACCTGCAGAGGGGGCTGGGGGACCCCAGTTTTAGCTGGTCGTTCAGAGGTTCTGGAGGCACAGATGTACAACCGGCTTCAGGAGTGGAGTGGTCTGGGGGGACTCAGTCCTTAACTTTTGCGGGGAGGGGGTGGGTCTGGCACTAACAACAGGTGGATGGTATCAGAGTTTAATTAAATGGCAGGACACCCAGCTCCAGCTGTGGGAGAACTGCTTGGTGTGGGGAAAACCCACGCATCGGATGTCAGAAGTGCTGTGAGTGCAGACGCAACAGTGGTTTTTGTCAGAACCAACAAATCCAAAAGTTAAGAAAACTACTAGCAGGAGCCTAATTCAAACTCACAGAAGACAAGCAGGATATTCACAAACAGGTAGTGAGAAGGACCTTGAGGAGAGTGGGGCAGCGTCCTGGAGTCCAAACACGGAGGAGCCTACATTGTTGTGATAAGCAGTTCCTAGACTATCGAGCACGAGAGTTTTGGGGCCACATACTCGAAGGCCAAGTTTTCCAGCCTACACACCCAAGAGGATTACAGATAACAAAGGTGCAAAGTTAAACATAAAACTTCCAGTAATTAACAGAAGAATGTCTTCATGATATCAAGATACAAAAAGATATTCTCCATAACTCACAAAGGACACTAGCCACTAATTAACTATTAAGTATTTATTATACCTGAAAGGCAGAGAAACAGACAGATATATTCCATCTGCTGGCTCACTCCCCAAATGCCCGCAACAGCTAGGGTTATGCCAGGCTAAAACCAAGGACCTGGAACTCAATCTGGGTCTCCCACATGAGTGACAGGGACCCAAGTACTTGAGCCATCACCTGCTGCTTCCCAGGGAGTACATCAGCAGGAAGCCAGAATTGGGAGCTGAGCCATAGCTTGATCCCAGGCATCTGATATGGGATGTGGGCATTCCAAGCAGCATCTTAAATGCCTGCCCCACTAACCGTAAGTTTAAAATTAGGAATGCCTGGTCTTCAAGAGATAATGCAAAAAGACAGTGATACAGCTAGTGAGTACAAGAAATATGCAACAAATGCAATAAGTAGTAGTGTGGAGTAAGACCTCCTCCAAATTAGGAAGAAAAACAAGCAGAAAGAAACATGAGCAAAAGGCAATCACTTGACCAAAAAAACAAAACAAACAAAAACAAAACTCAAAAAGCACCAATGGTGCTCAATTTCATTAAAAATCAGCAGAGACAAAATAAAATACAGTGACATCCTATTACCTGCAGATTAATAAAAATGTACAAGTCCAATACTAGTGAGTACCAGCAAGAATAGACAGCAAAATGAACTCTCACATACTGCCGGTGGCTTTAGAGGACAATTTGGCATTTTGTAGGGAGAGTGAAGATGTACAGTTCCACTTCTGGACACACATCCTACAGAAATCCTGATCCTGTGCTGTACCTCGCATAAATGAAAACAATGTTTGTGACAGTTTTGTTTGTGATAACAAAACACTGAAACAGATTCAGAGTCCAAAAAGAGAAGAATGGACAGATAAATTATAATGTAGTCAAAACAGTAGGTAGTTTGTATAGCTATTACTACCAAACTTACAGCTATAAGCAACATGAGCAAATCCTACAAATAATGTTCAGGATACAAAGAATACATACAGTTGTAAACCATTTATATAAAACGCAAAAATGGACAAAACTACAGTATATTAGTTATATGCATAGAAATCTATGTGAAAAGCCTCTGTAAGGGGGTAACAAATTCCCAAGTCACAGCGGGTGGACAGGAGATACAGTCAGAGGCGTACAAGCGGGTGTCACAGGTGCTGGTAGTTCAGTTACTGACACAGGTGTTTATCAGACCAAGCATACATATCGCAATACTCTAGTATTTGCACATCACGTCTGTGGATCCAAAAACTGCCCCTTCTCACTGCATCTTCCAGAAGGCAGTGGTTAAGAGTTTGATGAATGCCAGACTGCCCCTGGAGACCTACTTTCCAGAGAGTGCCCGCAGAAGTGCGGTGAGGGATGAAGTCAAAGTCTACTGTGGACAACAAGACCTCAACCTCCTTCCCTTCTCAGCTTTGAATCCAATCCCTATTTACAAATGCATGGCCAATCGCACTCAGCCGTGGCCCCTGTGTCCTGCTACTTCCCACAGGGCCATTTTGGCCAATACATATCACCGCTGTTCTCTCCGGAAGCTTCCAGCAATGTCTACTCTCGTCATCGCAGGCTGAGCTGAAGCTGAAATTTTCTGAGTAATCGAATTCTGTTTCAAGGTTTGATAATGTGACCAACTAGCTAGAAAGTTAAACCTTACCTCGGCCACTTCCTTCTGAAACGTCAGTGTCATCGGGGTTCTACCATATACAAAAGGTCCATCTCTGCAGGACACATGCTCAAGCCACTTGACGATCAGTGGAGTTGAGACACTGAACGGCAGATTTCCAATAATATGCACATTGGGAGGGTCTGCGTGGCAGGGGATAAAACATGGAGTGATTTCATCAATGTATTCTTAGTATAATTTTAGTTCAGAGCAAAATTTCACTGTGTATTAATAGCATCAAACAACAACATATGAAGAGACATGGCTGAATATTTTTCAGGGCATTCATTCTTCAAAAGCAATGTTTCCTCACAATCAGCTTCGAATTCTAGCTAATTCATGCTCAAAGTCAAAGTCCTCAGACTTCTGGATTAGGAAGTATATGAAACATAGCTGGTGTGAGGGTAGAGACAATTGAGTCTGGACAGATGAGGAAAAAGTGTCCACGGAGCTGACAGAGAGTCCGATGACCAGGAAGGGAACACCAGCCGTGGACACAGACAGCCTGCATACACAGACGGGCTGCAGACAGACAGGCTGGGTATACAGATGGGCTGCGGACACAGACGGGCTGGGGACACAGACAGGCTGGGGACAGACAGGAGTATTTGCTGTGTGCTAGTCTAATGACATCATGGGGTGGAGGTGTCCAGGCACACCCGCAGCGAGAGAAGATGCCCAAAAACACAAATCTTGGAAGCAACCACGTGCAGAAAGGGGCAGGAGAAAGAATACCAGCAAAGGACACTCAGAGGAAGCTCACAAATGTGACAGGCAGAACAGGAGGGCCTGGTGTCAGGAAAGACAAGAGCAGAGGCATCTCCCAGAAGGCAGTGGTTAAGTCTGATGAATGCCAGACAACTCGGTCAGGAAAGGTTTCAAACAGGCAGTTAGGAGGTCGCCGTGATGCCAGTGTGACTGAGCAGGTGCACAGCCTGAGGGCTGTGTGCTGGGAAGAGAGAACTCACTAGAAGGTGAGGACCACTCTGAAGAGGCCCTGCCCTAAGGGGCCAGAGACACCGGATGCTGATAGGTTGAAATGCCTCCTCCATCCGCTTTGAGACTTGTTAACAGGCAAGAAAAGTTGTTTGTTTGTTTGTTTTTTAAGAATATTTTGAAGAGCTGGCTCAGAGCAGGTACCCAATAAATGCTGTCCATGAATGAAGAATGCCTTAGTTGGTCACCGAGTATTGAAAAACAATGGAAAAAGTTAAATGAAGGCTTGGGCATGATTTACTATTTTACATCTTTCACCATGTGGAGAAAGTAACCCTATAATATAGCCTATCTGTGTACATAGGTCATAAAAATGGCAAGTTTATCGGGCAGGTGCTGTGCACAAAGGGTTAAGCTGCTGCCATCCACACCCACATCCCATGAGCCCTGGCTGCTCCACTTCCAATCCAGCTCCCTGCTAATGTGCCTGGGAAAGCAACAGAAGATGGCCCAAGTGCCTGGGTCCCTGTCACCCATGTGGGGGATGTGGATGGAATTCCAGATTCCTGGCTTTGCCTGGCCCAGCCCTGGCCATTGTGGCCATCTGGGGAGTAAACCACTGGATGGAAGATGTCTCTGTCATCCTCCTTTTCAAACAAATAAACAAACCTTAAAAAAAAAAAAAAAAAAAAAGACACAAATTTATTTGGAAAGAATTGAACTGAAACTGAAAATCTGAAACCCAGAAAAAGTAACTAAATTTCACATTTTGGAACAAAGTAGTATGGTAGAAAAATTTACAATGTACATTACTTAATTCTGCTCAATTTTTTAATACATACAATATTTATAAGTGTGTAATGTTTGTGATATGAATAATTAAGTATTTAGTTATTTAAAGAATATTTTAAAAGAATCTAAAGGTACTTACCATCCTCCCAGTGTCTTTTAAGACTTTCTGGAAAGGCCTTTTCCAATTTAAACGTCAGTACATCACCGTGAACAATTCTCAGTTTCCCGGGTGCTGCGTCAGAAAGCATCTAGTTTACAAAAAGGTCAAGAGAGTGAGCTCATTACTTTGTGAGTAACAAAACTAAATGTTTAAACTGTGCATCTTTTTTTTTTTTTTAAACTGTGCATCTTGAAATTACTTGGAAAGGCCAGAGACTAGAAGCAATCATGACCTAACAGGACACCGTGTCCACCACAACGTTCCACTGTGCTTCACTCTCATACACAGAATGGCTAGGGACTGTAACACGTTAACAGCACCCAGCAGCTTACAATGTCACAAATAGTGTCTAAGTGTAACGCCCTTCCTCAGAACGACTACTTATGCACAGATGTAGCATAAACTCAACTCCTAAGTTCTTAAATTGGAGACCAAGGACTTTACAATGAAACCCCGAGAATTAATCAAAAGTAAACCCTAAAAAAGAAGAGTTCAGCTCAACTAACTCTTTATGTCTAAATATATACAAAGGCAATAACTTACTTAATCTATGGGTAGACTCAAACCCAACAGAAAGTCACGTGTCCATGTCAAGCCCACTCAGTACTCTGAGATACTGCCCTGATCAATGTCCCCCATCTTACTATTTCTTGATCCACAGATGCTATCAAGCTAACGGATGATCCTGCATGGCTACCAACAGCTGCCTCACAGCCTTTTCCACCTCCTAATCAGCTGCTTTCCTTCTCCTTTCAGTCCTTCTGAGCACAGAAGACACAAAACAAACCAGTGTTCCTCTGTGATCTCCTGCGTCATCAGTCCAGGCACCTTGCTACAATACTCTCGCAGTACTAGATTCTGTCAAGTTCAGAAAAGCCTTATGGCTAAGCCATCTACACAGCTGTACTGTGTTAAGTGCCCCTTAAGGAGACTTACTTCTTCAAGTACTTGATTAAAAACAAAAAACATGCAGTCCCTGAGCATACAAAGCTTAAAATACAGGAGTGAATATAATCACTGAGGAGAGACTTCCCAGCTCAAGTAGAATGCGAACAGGTCCCAGCTCCAGGAGCTCAGAGAACCTTGGATCCCACTCAGTTGCCAAACACCCCTGCCTACTCCTCTAGCTCAATTAAAGCTGCTTTTCTCTTCCAACACTCCTGTTGTCTAACAAGCCACTAGACAGCAAAGATGAGAGAGGTGTCACAGAGCCAGAGAGGAGACACTGGGGCAAGGCACACGGCCTGCTGACCACTCCCCACTCCCACCTTGCTGTCAACAGTGCAGCCTGCCACACTTCTGTAGTAGCTCCGACAGCACACGGATCCTACGTGCCCACTCCTGGGCGTTTCCTTCCCTTGCACCAACACAGGCTCCCCAAGGGCGGCACCTGCTGCCTATTTCCCTCAGCAGCCCCTGGAGCTACAGCAGGTCACAGGGGATGCTGACTACACACTCAACACGTGAATGAGGCAGTCAACAAACCAAATGGCATCAGCTTTTTGTGAGGTTGGAAACTTTCTCTCTTACGCTGTGAGACTGCCCTCAAAATTGGTGGGGACAAGAAACTTACTTAGATTAATTTCACTAATAAATCAGACAGGATTATACAAATAATTGTATTTAATTAATCAAATTATAATTAATTTATATGCACCAGAAATACACAGCAGAAATGCCTATGTTGGCGAGAAGGTTGACAGTTTAACTCTGGGAATCATCTAGCTGGGTTCAGTTAGCCATAGCAGTTTTGTTTTTTTTTTTAAACTATTTATTTATTTATTTATTTGAAAGTCAGAGTTACACAGAGAGAGAAGGAGAGGCACAGAGAGAGGTCTTCCATTCACTGGTTCACTCTTCAATTGGCTGCAACGGCTGAAGCTGTGCCAGTCTGAAGCCAGAAGTCAGAGCTTCTTGCGGGTCTCCCACGTGGGTGCAGGGGCCCAAGGACTTGCGCTGTTCTCCACTGCTTTTCCAGGGCATAGCAGAGAGCTGGATTGGAAGAGGAGCAGCTGGGACTCGAACCTGCCCCCACATGGGATGCCAGCACTGCAGGCAACAGTTTTACCCGCTATACCACAGGGCTGGCCCCATCCATAGCAGTTTTTTTTTTTTTTTTTTTTTTAAGATTTTATTTATTTATTTTAGAGGTAAAGTTACAGACAGTGAGAAGGACAGAGAGAAAGGTCTTAGGTCCATTGGTACACTCCCCAAATGGCTGCAATGGCCAGAGCTGCACCGACCTGAAGCCAGGAGCCAGGAACTTCTTCCCGGTCTCCCACGCGAGTGCAGGGGCCCATGGGCTTGGGCCATCTTCTCCTGCTTTCCCAGGCCACAGCAGAGAGCTGGACTGGAAGAGGAGCAGCCGGGACTAGAACTGGCACCCATATGGGAAGCTGGCGCCACAGGCGGAGGATTAACCCACTGCACCAGCCCCATCCATAGCAGTTCAACAAATGGAACTGTGCACCCCTGGCACAAATGTACTTATGGATTATTTTTAATTACCATGAGTTTCTAAAACTTGATCTGTGAATTCCAGAAATACTTAATAGAAAACATAATGGCCTCAGGGCTGGCATTGTGGTGCAGCAGGTTAAGTTGCTGCCTTTAACACCAGAATCCCATATGGGTGCAGTTTGTGTCTCAGCTGCTCCATTTCCAGTCCAGCTCCCTGCTAATGTACCTGGAAAAGAAGCCGAAAATGGCCCAAGTCCTAGGGCCTCTGCTACCCATGTGGGAGACCAGGATGGAGTTCCAGGCTCCTGGCTTCATCCTGGCCCAGCCCTGGCTGTTGCAGCCATGTGGGGAGCGAGAACCAATGATGAAAGATCTCTCTCCTTCTCTCTGCCTTGCAAATAAATTTTTTCTTTAAAGAAAACACAATGACCTCAATATACTAAAAATTAAAAGAGATAGCTCTCTGAGAAATGCTGTGTTTAAAAAGCACGTATTTAATGATGGAATTTACCAGCAATGGAGGATGCTACATTTCTTCTATAATTATGTTCCACATAATTAAAACACTACAAATCAGTACATCAAAAAAAGGCTAAACTAAAAGCTTACGTTACATGATGTGAATATATAGAAAGTAATTAAGCAATTAGTAGATAGGATTAAAACAACCTACACTGGCCTTTTTGTCATTGTATGCTCTGACAATTGATCTGAAAGTTAATTTTTCAAGGCCAGCTCTGCCATGTGGGTGCTGGTTCAAGTCACAGCTGCTCCACTTCTGATCCAGCTCTCTGCTATGGTCTGAGAAAGCAGCATAGGATGGCGCAAGTCCTTGGGCCCCTGCACCCATGTGGGAGACCCAGAAGAAGCTCCTGGCTCCTGGCTCTGGATCAGCCTAGCTCCAGCTGTTGCAGCCATCTGGAGAGTGAACCAGCAGATGGAAGACCTCTCTCCTCCTCTCTCTGCCTTTCAAATAAATAACTAAAACTAAAAAAAAGAAAATAAATTTTTCCCACACTCACAGACTCAACTGCATACCTAAAAGCTGATATAAATTTAAATGCACCTTCCGTTCTTTACAATTATACTTGAATTTCTATTTCATTTCCCACGGATTCCCTTTCAGGTTTAAGTCTCAGTCAATGACGAACCAACTCCATCCTTAAAAGCTGACCTCGTCCTCAACAACTCTGTAGCTTGATCCTCCCTTTCTGACCCCCTGCTGCAGAAGGAATGAATGGTGGTGGTCCCAGATTATGTGAGGGCCCTGAAGCAATTACAGAAGGAAACGCAGTGCTATCCATACTGGATTGATATGATTACTGTACAGACAAAATCCTTTCACACACCCAAAATTATATTCACTAAAGACACACAGAGAAGGTCTAACCAACCAGTAAGAGAAAAGTATCTTCGCCATCATGATTCTTTGGGGGATGGCAATGGGATGAGGAAGACCCCTTTTCTAGCCCTTTAAGAATAAAACTGGAGGTGCCGCAGGTGGAGGATTAGCCATGTGAGCCACGGCGCCGGCACCCCGGGTTCTAGTCCTGGTTGCTTCTCTTCTAGTCCAGCTCTCTGCTGCAGCCCGGGAGGGCAGTAGAGGATGGCCCAAGTGCTTGGGCGCCTGCACCCGCGTGGGAGACCAGGAGGAAGTACCGGCTTCTGGCTTCGGATTGGCGCAGCGCCGGCCATAGTGGCCATTAGGGGAGTGAACCATCGGAAGGAAGACCTTTCTCTCTGTCTCTCTCTCACTGTCTATAACTCTCTCTCTGTCTCTCTTTCACTGTCTAACTTCGCCTGGCCAAAAAAAAGAAAAAAAAAAAAAGAGTAAAACTGGAGCATTCATTACACTGGAAACCCTGTAGGTGTGACCACAGGATGGGAGCACAGACACAGCTGACCAGGAACACAGGAATCCAACTACAACCCAATGAGTATTTTTACAGCCATTCTAAAACCATTCTATTATTTCAATTTTCATTTTCAATTCTACATTCTTCCAAAGTGAGATGCAAGTCAACAAAGAGTAAGAGACACTACAGAAAGACAGAAAAGCTAGCCACAGAAAGGGAAGCATACACCCGAGAGCCACAGCACAGGCAATGACCGTCAGGGTGGCCAGCATGAACACAGGACACCATTCTAACTTGCCCAGAGATCATTGTACCAGGTCTCCAAGACAGAAGAGAATGCTTTCTGGTTTGAAGTTTTAGAAAGTGTACATGAAACAATCTAATGGACAATGCCTTTAACAAAGTTGGACAACAAATGTAGAAACATCCTTACGACCATTTCAAAGAACCCTCTCAAAAGTCAAAGGCATGGTGAAAGCTTTCCTGCAGGGCGCAAGTGACCAGGGTCCAATTTAGGTAACTTTCTGGCAACTGGAAAGAATGCACGCACTTCTCGGAACTTCGACAACATCACACAAAGGACTACGCAGGAGAGTTACTCTGTGTGTCTGACGCCTGTTCTCAGGGTCAGGGTTCACGCCAGCCAACACTGAACAGCTGCATTACATGAATGACCTTCCAGCTGATCTGCCACACAGAGGACATACTGTTGAAACAAATAAGTGCCAAAGAGCTGGCATAACTGTTAGGGAAACTGTATGAGATTAAGAGA